TGTAGTCCCATATGTTTATTTTTCCTTTTGTTTCTCTTGTCCTAGGAGATGTATCAGTGAAAAGTCCACTACGTGGGATGTCTGTGACTTTACTGCCTATGTTTTCTTCCAGGATTTTTATGGTTGCACGACTTACATTTAAGTCTTTTATCCATTTTGAGTTTATTTTTGTGTATGGTGAAAGTTGGTGGTCTAGTTTCATTTTTTTGCATGTATCTGTCCAATTTTCCCAGCACCACTTATTGAAGAGACTGTCTTTACTTCATTGGATACTCTTGCCTCCTTTGTCAAGTATTAACTGACCATAATGGCGTGGGTCTATTTCTGGGGGCTCTGTTCTGTTCCATTGATCTATATGCCTGTTGTACCAATACCAGGCTGTTTTGATTACAGTGGCTTTGTAATAGTTTGAAGTCCGGTAATGTGATCTTTTAATTTTCTTATAGGTTTAATTTTTATATTTAGGCCCTTAATCCATGAGAAATTTATTTTTGATATGTTGTAAATTACTTAGCATCAATCTTTCTAATTGAGTAGTCAGTTGACCCAATAATATTTAAGTCATCCTTTCCACACTGATGAAATTGGACTTTTATAGCCTTCTAAAGTCCCACAAAACGGTGAGTCTATTCAAGGACTCTCTACAGTAGCTCTGTTAGATAAGTACTAGAGAAATTGTTTCCTTAATTTTCTTTTAGAAAATTTCCATGTCTATTTAATTACTCTTCAACTTTAAAATTGACTTGTCCAAGATTGACCATGTGTTGGTAATTATTGAAGCTAGGCAATGAATACATTAAACTATTCTTCCTATTTTTGTATATATTTGAAAAAAAATCATACTGAAGTTTTTAAAGAGGATTGATTTGTCACATCCCATTGAAAAATCTTTCAAGATTTTGGTTGGAAATGTATTCAATTAATAGATTAATTGGGAGGATAACTGACATATTTACAAAGTTGTTTTCCCATTCAGACTGTGATATCCCTCCTTTTACTATTTTTCTTTAAAATGTTGCTTCTTTAAAAATGTCTTAAATATTTCTTAATCTTTGAGTTTTGTATAATCTTATGCTCATTTCATAAAAAATAATTAGAAAGTTTCATTTTCTATGGCTTTAAGTAGAGGAAGTTAAAATTACATTTAAAAAAAAGGACTTTGGTTCCCCTAAAGAGAGTTTCCCTAAGGAAACATACAGACCTAGTGTTTTTAGGGAGGTTAGCTCTGTTTCTATAGGGTGTTACCTTTATTTCTTATTTTGTGTTATTGTCGTTTATTTTTTCTTGATTATATTACCTAATGGTTTATCTGTTTTATTCACTCTTAAATCTGGATGGAGTGTCACTGAAATCCCCAGTAGAGAGCTCAGAAAAGTCATGACTTAGTGTAGGTCTAAATTATCTCTAGAGTAAAAGATACTTAAGACTAGTGATTTTCACCTGGCCAGTGTGGCTTAGCAGTTGAGCATCAAGCTATGATCCGGAGATTGTGGTTCAGCTCCCAGTCAGGGCACATGCCCGGGTTGCAGGCTCGATCCCCAGTAGGGGGCGTGCAGGAGGCAGCCGATCAATGACTCTCATCACTGATGTTTCTCTCTCTCTCCCCGCCCTTCCTCTTTCTGAAATCAATATTTTTTTTTAAAATAAGAAAAAATTCCACTGAAGAAAAATTTCTCAAATTGATGAAAACGATGATCCCATGCTTACAAAATACTCAAAAAACCCCAAGCAGGAAAAACATGAAGAAAATCATACTAAGGCACATTGTACTCAAATGGAAACAAAAAACAAATAAAAAAGAGTAATAAAAATTTTAAAGCAACAAAAAATCAACACACAATTGATAGACAAAGATCAATATCTATTCATGATTAATAACTCTCAGAAAGCTAAAAGAATTTCCTCAGCCTGGGAAAGGTCATCTACAAAAATTCTGCAGCAAAGATACTTAATGGTAAAATGCTGAATGTTGCCCCCTAATATTGGTGACAAGGGAAGGATGTGTCTGATCTCACAATTCTTTTCACCATCATTGGAAGGTCTGACCAGTGCAGCAGGACAAGAAAAAGAAATAAAAGGCACTGGAAAGGGAAATTGGGAAGACTGGAAAGAAAGAAAACATTTATTTTAATAATAATCTGCAGATAACACGACTAAGCAGAAAACTTTTTAAAACTATGTAAGTTAACTTGGCAAGGTGTCAGGATACGAGGTCCATATACGAAATCAATTGTATTTCTAGTTCTTATAAATGAGCTGGAAATTGAACATTTAAAATAGCACACTTACAATGATAGCAACACACAAACTTTGATATACTAACAATTTTGTGCAATATCTGTATGCCAGAAAAAACCCACAACAAAACATACTGATAAAAGAAATCAAAGACCTGTATCAATGGAGCAATATGCTGCACTCATGGGTTACAGGACAATATTAAGATGCCCACTCTCCCTGAGCTGGTTTATGGATTCGATGAAATAGTCATCAAAATCCAAGTGGGTGTTTGTTTTCCTGTTAACAGGCTGATTCTAAAATGACTATTAAAAGGTGAAGGAACTGAAATAGCAAGACAACTATGAAGAAAAAAAAAAGTTGGACTACTTGCTTATGTAAAGCTAAAGTAATCAAGGCGACGCAGTATGGTGAAAGCACAGACATACATTAACGGAATAGTTGAGAGAGAGACGTGTCACCAGACTTTTTGGCAAAGGTGCATAGAATAATGATGCATATATAATTTTATATGTACCACATAAACTTACTCAAATGGGTCACAGACCTAAATATAACAACTGACGACTATTAAGCTATTATCACTTTCAGTTAGGCAGATTTCTTAGATATGACAAAAGCATAATGCATTAAAGACGAAGATGGTAAAGTGAACTTTGTGAAAAGAACTTCTGCTCTTCAAAAAGCTCCGTTAAGAGAATGAAGGACAAACCTCAGACTGGGAGAAAACATGTATAAAGCCCATGTCTGGTAAAGGTCTTGTATCCAGATTATACATATTTATATCTGGTTACAAATATGAAAAAACTGGGTTACCCTTTATGACTTTTTCATAGTGACAAAGATAAAACATGGGATTTTGTCCATTAGCGAGTGTGAATATATGGGTAATACCATGTATTATATTAAGTCCACACTTAATGTTGATAGGTTCTTGGAACCACGGTACAGTGACGTCTTAACAAAACCAGTTTTACCATAGGCTAATTGATAAAAACAAGAGCAAAGTTCCTAGGGTATCTCATTAACCTTATTTATAATGAAACAGCATTACTTAAAGACCTGTTACCTTGTGATCGAACTTCCATTTTTGGAAGGGAAATCTGACTATCTCTAGGAATGAATCCTAAAAATCTTACACTTCACGACTGGCATGTATGTTTACTATCCCAATACTTATACTTGCAAAAATGAAAAAAATGAGTTGGTAACGGGGACTGGTTAAATAATGAATGACCCATAACTGGGAGGCTAGCAGACAGGAAAATCTTGCTTAAAGAAAATATTTGATATAGGAAACTGCTCAAAATGCAGTTGTGGAGAAACAGGACATTAAACTGTATACACACAGTTCCACAAGAGAATAAAAGAAATGAGTGCAAATGTGAATGGGGGTTTTCTCTGACTTACTGGTAGGGCATTTTTTCTTTTTTGCTACTTTCTGAACATGTATTCAGACCACAGAAGTTATAAAAGGAATTTAGACATTTGAGTTAAATTATGCATAAATGTGCAGTATGAAATTCCTGGTCTTATACAGAGAAAGCTAACATGGTACGTAACGGTCTGATTTTGCAAAGGGGTAAGCGACTGAGTAACCTATGATTGAAAGGGCAACCCAGAACTCAATCCAATTTCAGTTTTGCTGCTTTCCCATTAAAATATGACAGCCATCGTATTTGACATTTGGGTTCTCCCTCCATTAGTGGACCCTCAAAGCTCTCACTCCAGGGTCACGTTGAATAGTTTTACTTGCGCATAAATGTTTTGGACTTTCCCTTTAGTTCCCAATTTTGTTTTTAATCATGAAGTTCTTCCAGTAAACAAACCACCCGTTTATTCTCAAGAATACCTGGTAAATGCTGTTGAAGACTTAAGTGTTGCCCCCTAGTGGAAAAGTCCTCAAATAACTTGTTGCTGTTCACATAATGGTAATGAACGAAAGTATAGAACATTAAAAACTACAAATATTAGCTTTTTCCCTTATGCCAGTTTAGCTTTGTTCACCAAATTCCCTTTGGAGGAAACTAATCTTTGTAGTGCTTTCTGTTTGTTAGGGACTGTGTTACGAGGGCTTTTTATATATTATTATTCATTTTAAGCCTGTAAAGTGGCTGTTTAATTCTTACACAGTAGGTTACAAAGTCTAATACCACTATGCAATGAAATGTCAAGTAGAAAAAACTCAATTTATCATTACACTTAAAAGTATCTCCAGCATTTGAGAACGGCCCAACTTTGTAAATTCACCAAGCATTTGAGTTACATGCTAAATTGAATTATAATATTTTTACCTCATGCATACAGAATGGACAGCCAGTTTCCAAAGCTTTGGATGGGGGAGGGGGAAGGTGTGTTAAAACCATCTTTATGGTAACACATACACAATTATCAACCGTCTGAACAGATACCTGAAATAGTACGCTCTCAAATACTCAAGAAAAATGACCCGATTCTGGATTACCTAGCATCCATCTTCTCTTTGAGGGTGGGGGTAAGCTTGACTTTGTTCTTTCTGCAGAGCACATTACTATCTCACTTGGATTTATGTGGTAGGAAAAAACACGCTGAAGCAGTGTTCCCTACAAAGGTAATTGTTTATAGTTCACTAAAAATACTTTTATCAGTACTGTTTTAGCTTTCACATCTAATTTTCTATGAGTAAAAACATTACTTGTATAAATACTGTTACACACTGAAAGAACCTGTTTTCTAGTTTTCTTTAGAAGTAACTGTAAACAGAAAAATCCTCACTTAATTTGAAAGGGGGGAAAAAAGTGTATTTCTTTTATTCCAAGACTAACAGCTTCACAGAAGAAAGCTTAATATCCAGTAGTTATATAAAATGTATTTATATACAGACTTGTAACTATTGCCCAGCCACTAAATAAAGATCAAAGGAGATTAACAGAATGTAGTTTTTTTTTAAAAGGTTAAGACAGAGGGGTAGAATATGTACGTTTGTAGTGTCAAGAGAATAGAATACAAGCAACTTGACAAGACTAGGTTTATTCTAAGTATAACTTTTATTAATAAAAAGATTAACCATGACCATATGAGTGGCTGGGCTTATAGTTTGCTACACCAAAGAAATTAAAAATTGATACTTGAGAATATTGTTACAATAATTTATAATAGCATTCCTTTATAGAGGCATTTTAATTTCAGCAATGTTTCTCTTAAATATAAAAAACTAACCTTTAGTGTCACGAATGAGAATCATTATAGCTACTGCTGAATTAAAAAATTTCCGAAAGCTGTTTGGTGGTGTTTTCTCAAGATCTACACCCAAACTTTAGGGAAACAATCTTCCAAAAAGATCTGGAAAATTGCCTGAGTATCAGTGTTTGATACTGGTGGCAGAATAGCCCACTTCCAAGTGTGAAGAATAAATAACACAAATTACGAATGCACCCAAGATCCCCAAATAAATTAGTAAAAGTGCCATTATTTTAAGAATGATCAGACATATAATCAATGTGTTTAAATACAAATTCAAATTTGTTAAGTCCAAAAGATACAGTAATTTTATTACATAAAATTCCTCCTGTATGCTAAAAAAATGTTAACTTACAAGACATAATATTTGATTAAGTGTAAAGGGAATTATGGTCAATTTGTTTAATCATTTTTCATTGATGAGAATAGAACAATAGGTAGTGGACATATATAGAAGCACTCGAGTCCTCTAAAATTCAAGGTTGTTAATTACTGCTCAAGCAAAGCATACTACCATTCTTTAATAATATAAATGCCTACTCAATTTATCTTTTAAAAATAAAGTCCATTTGTTCTCCATTAAAGCTTCTGCAAGACTGACAAAGGTACATTCTACCTATATAAAATAGGGGTACTCTTCATCTTTGGATAGGTATCACCATTTAGGGAAATGTAGTCATATACAGATTACTAAATTCTTATTTGAGGCAGCTGTTGGAGTCCATTAAACACTTTTCGAACACTGTATCTTTAAAGTTTGTCTTTAATATTAATAGCTTTGGAAAACCAAAAATAGAGAAAAAACATCTATGGCAAAGTACATTTCATTCAGATTTGATAGCAGTAAAATACAAAAAAATTATTTAGTGCAGTGTCAATTTTAAGTAAATCACTTGAGGATAGTTTTGTGTTATGTTTTATGATTGCATGACAAAAAAAGTTTTTACTTGTTAAAAAAGTTTTTTAAGTCTTTGACTTAGTATTTAGTAAGGCAAAAATGAAATTAAGTACTGTAAAAAGTCTTTTAAAATGAAGCTACAAATTTGGTTCCCATTTACAATAATTTCATTAACAGGTAAGTGTAGATACAACGTATCCAATACCCTTATAACTACAGTAAAAAAAAAGTCTCTAATGGCATTTATAGATTGTGAAATCCTTAGTAATACCAATATATATCCAAAACATGTTCATAAAGAACCAATACCTCTCCTTCTCCATGTTAAAGAACACTTGTTCAAAATAATTAACAAAAATACCAATAAAACAATGGAAACTCATTTCATTTCGCCCAAAGTTATGACACAAAATACTGGCTTAAAGAGGTAGATTAAAAAGAAAAAGAAAACCAGATTCACCATTCTTTGTCACTTTTATTCAGTAGTAGTTTTTTTTCCCTTATTTTCAGTGCCAGACACGGCAAGGAGTGATTACAGCCAACTGTTATGAAAACATTTGTTCGCAATATATACCCCCTTTCCCACTGACCCCAAACTGACTCCTTTTGTGTGCTTTCGTTCTTTCTTTTTTTAATACACCACCACCAAGACTGGGTGGAGGGGGCATGGGTAAGAGACATGGAGGGGAAGAGTCCAGGAGGCCAGAAGAGGAATGCTACAAGCCACAGTAAGAATGAGCTGTATTTAATTTAAAAAAGGGTGGAGGGGTGTACCCCACAAGTGATACAGTAATGAGGATACACAATTAAATCCCATAAGCATGACTGAGGCTTTCACTGTGTTTGACGTCATCACAATGGAAGGCATAAAAAGTGGAGTAAATCAATGTTGATACAGTCCAATCTAGTCCATTAGGCAAGATGGTGCAAGAAGTCGTTTAAATTAAAAGTGCCCTACCCTTACCTAAATGGCTAGCAGACATGGAGAACGCCACAGTGACGAACCCACAGAGCTTTCTCCATGTAGCTATAAAAAATGTGTTGTTGAATGGCACATTGTCAAACACTGGAAAGGGGCGCCACAATGGACCTCTCTCTTTTTTAGGTACAAATGCTAGATTCAACTATCTCAACTAAGCAGGAAGTGGGCTCTTCTGCTAGGAATGCCAACCCTAATTCACTTTGTCTTGAAATATATACAGATTGTTTGTAGTAGCTACAGCAATGATATTTTCCTTGGGGTGCCAGGCTGTATGAAGTATTTTCTTGTTGAAGTCTAGACTGTCAACACTTATTTCATCTTTCTTTCTCTTGCCACTTGCACAGACTTTGCGTGGCTTCAGAACCGTGCGAGGTTTATTGTTCTCCCGCGATGCTTCGAGGGTTATGTCTCGCTTTGTGTTCCTGTCAAACATTCTGAAGAAATTATTGTAAGATCCAGTCATGACAACACTGTAAAAGTAGACAGAACATTCAGTCAAATAATGGAATAAGTTTGTTTTCAGTAAAATGATTCAGTGATGAAACCTAGCCTGGTACTCTACCGGAAACAGCTACTTTAAGCAGATTTGAAATTTAGAGTGAGGGCTGCTGACACCAACCCAGAAACATGGTACTAGTTAATCAACTGTGCTACTTGGCCAGGGTCCTGTTTAATATTTCTAAAAAGTTTATTAGCAAAGTAAACCAAACTGAAATTTCAACATTTTAACTGTTGGCATGTCAAACTTACAATTGATCTGGTTCATAAGAGGGAAAATTTTTAAGATATTTAAATCATAATTTGTAATATCTAGAATTTTTTGTGTATTTCCACATTTACTAGTGACACACAATGTTTAATTTTTATCTGCCAACACTGCTATAAGATTACTAAGTTTATTTTAAGGAAACACTGGGGGGGAGGGGAAATAAAGTTAGGATTTATAATTTATGTCAATCTAAATAAAGTTTGTCATATTCTCAGTAAACATGGCAACTATACCAGGAGGAGTGACAAAACAGTACATTTCTTTCCTCTAATACAATTTTCAACCTATGTGCCGCAGCACACTGGTGTGCTGCAAGAATTTTTAAAATGTGCAGTACCTAACTATGTACTCAGGGGCACTGACCTCTTTCGCCTTAGACTGTCAGATAAAGAAATGGCAGCAGCTAACACAACAATAGCCATCGGTGTGAATGAATAAAAATTATACTTTTTTCCTGTCAGATTGGCAAAAAATGTATTTTTTTGGTGTACCACAGAATTTTAGTAATTAGTTTGTGTGCCATGAGATGAAAAAGGTTGAAAACTGCTGCTCTAATAAAATTACATTTGAATGAGTTCAAATTAAAATCAATTACCTATCAGAGCCATTCCAACAACATTCAAATTTGTCAAATATGCAGTCATTTTCATACAGAGAACAAAGTTTACTTCTGAGGTATTCATGCACCTGGGGGAAAACATAAATATATTATATATATATTCCTATTTACACCTGAAGATTTACTGATTAAAATTAGGAAAGCGATTTAACAAGTTGATTTTTTTAAAAGGCATATACAGACACATACACAAACCCTTCAACCTTATGAAAACTTGATTCCCTTAGTAACAATAAAGGCATTCTATCCTTTTACAAACATAGGAGCCCCTTCAATGAACACATTTTCCTCCTGAACAATAGAAAAATTACCCTCTGGGAATGGCACCTGCACTCTTTATGAGCTCAACTGAAATATTTATGCCAGAAAACATTTGATAATGGTGCAGATAAGAGCGTAAAGAATGTTACAGCAATATTTGAATATGCTAACACTTGGCTTTCAGTCTATTAAAAACTGCTGATTAAAAAAACAATACTGTGCTTTACTTCCTTTTTAAATATAATTTTCTGGGCATAAATCACTGAAGCATACATTATCATTAAGTGCGTATGTTATGCATAGCATGACCATCTCTTGGTCTGGTGATAAATTATATTACTCTAGGTATGCATCATTGAAAAATTTGGTATCACTTGATATTACTTATATAATATCAAAAGCTAATAAAAATATACCTTTTTTGGGGAAATATAATTCTAAATAAATAAATCTAGTAATTAAAATGTATCCTGATAAATGATACATTTCATAAATATTCTTAAATTACAAAGGAAAGTTTCAAAATATTTCTTACTATCAGAAGGAAAAAAGGAGTCTCTTTCACTATACTTTTTTACTTAAAGGGGAACTTCAACACAAGTGATGACAGGCAGAGTAGGTACCTTCTAAATGTTAGAATTCTCTATTCTTTATGAAACAACCTAAAGTCATCTTAACTTTAAGTATAGTGAAATGATTCAGGCCACATCTATGTAACAGTAACTGAAAATTTAACATAGAAGAATTGCAATTCATGTAGGGTCAGTATTAAAAGTGAGTAAGTTAAGGTGAAAAATTAATAAAATCATAATTACCCTTTAATCACACACGGCTCAGCAAGATATTCATACAAATTCACCACCAACAGCTCAATCTGCATACACTGCATTTGAGTATGATGGGGCACTATTCCCAATCACTAGCCTAACTCAGTGTAGGCAGGAACACTGCCATTCAGGTAAGACAGGTAAATCATAACAATTCAGCAAAGTTTTAGAATGCATGTACAGGGTTTCTCATCAAATAATTTACGAGTATGCAGTTAAGGTTGAAATATATTATTCTCAATGGGAATGGGGTAGTGGTGGTGCGGATGGCTAGGAGACAAATCAGAATCTTGGCAGTTATACAAATGTCATTTGAAAACAGCAATATTGTACCTCATTGCTTTTGTTGCAACGTAACATGCATTTGGAAATTTCAAATACCATGGAGGAGAATATTAAGTGGTTTAGTTTTGTTAAAGAGGATTAAAAAGTTTGAGAAATACCATTCGAATTTATTGAGAATATACAACATAAACTTGGGAATCCTGTGTCCGTAAAGCAGCGCGAGTCTCTTCTCCCCCGCGGTAACCTAGGGCCTGACACAGGCTGCTGCCCTGGCCGCCTTCCCGCTGGGCACACCTCTCTCCTCTGGGAGAGGAGGTGGGGATGAGTGGAAGTGCCGGCTGACAAGGGAGTCCAGAACTGACTCCCCCGAGAGAGAGACAATTCCTAAAGCTGCCTGCTGGGCTTTCAAACCCCTTTCTTTTAGTGTAAATACAACAGTTATCAGCCAAAGGCAGAATGCTAGTCCCTTTAACCTGGCATGCCACAGTTAAGCTCTGGTTCAACTACTGTTGCACATACTCCAACCGTCTACTAAGACTGACCGCTCTCCCCAACCCCCCCTTCCACCTGCAGACCTTAGTAGGGTGCTCTTCCCTTCTCACTTTAAATGTAGATAGAAACAGGGGAAAACAAGTTATCAATATTGAACCAAACCCATAGCAAAATCACACTTTAACTGCAAAACTACAACAAAGCCTATATAAGTATATCTAAATTTAACATAAGGAAAAGCCTAATAATACTCAAGGACGTCTGAAGGAAAATGCCTAACTGGGAACAAACACTGTATTAGAATTAACACATAATACAAAATCCTTCTCTATAAACACACAGAAGTAAGTTGGATATATGGCCATCGAAAGAAAAAACTGCAAATACCTGGTATGTTTCCACAGGCCTGTTTTCCATATTTAAGTCCCAAATTTTGACTGACAAGTAGTCTCTAGTCATCATATATCGACCACTATGGCTGAATTTTACATCAGAAATCGAGGAGATTATTTCAGAAAAGAAAGACCTGTTACTGGGATCTTCAGGTTCTTCAAACACTAAAAGACAAAAAAAAAAAAAGCAATTTATATAATATTCTGGCTTGCACAAAGCATTTGTTGAAACAATTCACAAATTTCCTAAGAGGCAGCTAAAAATGACAGCCTAATAAAAAACTGAAAAACATCTCTCTGGCTTTAAGATAATCTCTCTGAAAGTTTCTTAAACCTTGCTGACTGGCTATTTCAAGCCAGAACTTGCATGTGTGGCCGGCTACTTTGGTCAGCAAGGTGTTTAAAATTACTTTAATTAATGTAAGTGCAGACGGGAGTTATCTTGTGACTGGTCAGCAAGGTGTTAAGTGAATGACACAGACACTACAACTAAAGATGTAAAAGATTTATACTTCCAGAGTCCCAGAGCTAATTTAACAGACCAGGCTCACCCAGGACTTCTGACTTCAGTGCCCCAGGTTTGTAGGTTCTGCACACACACACACACACCCAGGTTTGTAGGTTCTGCGCGCACACACACACACGCGCACGCCTTACTGACTTTGCCTGTGCCATCATCACAAGGAACACACCATCCTCACCAAATTCATACCACCATTTAATTTTTAGTTGCCAGGTAAAATTATTTTCATGAGTTTTAAAAATATTCAAAAAACATGAAGATAAGAATTATGTAACTCAGTGCTTTTCAAACTTTTTTTTTTTAAAGCCAAGGAAACTTTTTCTTCGAAGAAATCTTCCTAGGAAGCTCAAAATTAGAAGCAGAAAGGGAGGGAAGGAAAAAAAAAGGAACTGTTTTACTTGAATACAGGGTTAGAGAGCCTCACCCCAAGTTCCCAAAGAGTATCATTCCATTAAAAATATATCCACTGGGACATCAAGAGACACGCCCCTGAGGAAGCTTATGTTTTTCCAGTAGAATAACCTACCATGCCTCATGTAGAGTCAGCAGTTGCAAACCTATAGACATGGGGTTATCACATCTGAGGCTAAACCTTTTAGACAAACAAAATGTTATCATCTGGGGGGGAAATGCAATTAACTTACGTTTAGAATGCCTATCACAGAGGGCAGATGCCCTCATGTCACATAACCGAATAGTTCCTTTACTGCTGCTGTAAACAAATGTGTTACAACTGTTTGGATGGAATTCTGCTGCTGTAATCACTTCTGTTAGCTCTTCCATGTTGGCAGGCTTGATATCCACAATATCTGGATAGCATTTTATTAAGGAATTTCCACTGAGAAAAAAGGGCAAATACAATTCTACACTTTTCAAAGCTAACATTAATTTGTAGACTGAAGCGCAAATATTCTGAATTGCATATTAGTCCTTATTTGACCGCAGAGGGAGGCAAAACCTTTAATACTTAAAAAAATTCTTAGAAGAAAACATGGGCAAATTTTAAGTCGTTTTAGACTGCAGAGGTCTGTTTTTCTGAGTGTGACACAAATCCCAAAAGCCATAAAGAATAGATTGATAAGTTTATCTTTCAAAATATTAAGAAACTTAGCGTGCATTCCAAACAAAACAAAAATCCTCAAGGGGAGCAAAAAGGGAAAAACTATTTGTACTACAAAGTAGGAAGCTAATTTACTTAACATAAAAATTGCTTTAAAAACAAAGAAAAACAACAAAGATGCAAATCTAATGAAAAAATTAGGAAAGAAAAATATACAAATATAAAAAAAACCTCATGTTTACTCATGATGAAAGAAATGCTGAACAAAAGAGGACTTTTCACTGGTAAAGTAGGAAAACTGCCTCTTTTACACATTAGTAGAGTATGATTATAGTAAAGTGTTAATTTTTCAAATGATATCTACTTGGAAATACAGTAATAGCAGTAGTGATAGCTGTTAACATTTTATTTAAAAACATACTTAAAAAACATTAATTTATATACATCTCTTTTTCTCCATATATAGTATGTGTGTGTGCCAGGTATGTATGTTTATATATCAAATACTTGTATATGCACAGAAATTTTCAGAATATAAACAATGAAAATGGGTTTAGAGAAATATTTATATTGACTCTATACTACCACCACCACCAAAAAAAGAGAAACCAAATGGATACTAAAACTCCTGTCTGTAATTTCCAGATGCCAAAGATTAATTCGCAAATCATCTGCGGATAAATATGTTTCATAATCACTATTAATAGAAATTGAGTTGATGTGGTATGTATGAGCATTGGCAAATATTCTTCGAGGACTGGCCTCAACCATTAGATCCATGGGCCTAAAGACTGGCACCTGTCAATAAGACACAAGAAAAACAGTCATTACAAAATGTTCATTGTTTACAATAGCGCTTAAGCTTCAGAGCACTTCATTTCTACAGTTTTTGAGGAACTATAAAACAGCATAGTATTACATAGATTTAGTTTTAAAAAGTAACTGATGTTGGTCTTCTAAAGTGTTGAAATAAGAAAATGAACAACTTAATTTATCTTCTTTTACAGGTAGCAATACTATTAGAATTTGCCGTTCTTCCTAGTTCCAATCTTTTGCTTGAAAGAACTGCAAAGCTAATAAATGTTTATGGTTTAAATTAAAGTGGTTAAAAAGGAAATTAATCCAGAGTATCTAATTCTTGGTATTTTTTATCTGCAACAAGATTTGGTCCATTTCTACTTTTTCTGTCTCCAAAGAAAATTAATCTTGAAACTTAAGTTTGTAATAGTTGATATTCAAATCAAAAGAGCAAAAAAGAATGGGTATAGCATATTAGAGTCCTGGTTCTGCCCCTGGCCACAGTGAGACGTCTATGTAGGTCAGGGTCTGTTTGAAATGAGAGTTTTTAGTGTCTTATCTAGTTACAGAATTGTTGGGATGAGGGCAAACTGTAATTATCCCTATTCAAGTTCTGGCTCAGGATCTAGAATATATAGCATGAATACAAAATGCTGGTGTAGCTCAGTTGGTTAGTTGGGTGTCATCAAAAGGTTGCTGGTGCCCGGATGAGTGTGGCTCAGCGGTTGAGCATCAATCTAGGATCCAGGAGATCAAGGTTCAATTCCTGGTCAGGGCATCTGCCCAGGTTGTGGGCCCAGCAGGGGGCATACAGGAGGGCAGCTGATCAAGGAATCAATGACTCTCTCATCACTGATGTTTCTTATCTCTCTCTCTCTCTCCCCCCCTTCCTCTCTCTGAAATCAATAAAAAAATGTATTTTAAAAAAAGGTTGCTGGTTCAATTCCCAGTCAGGGCACATGCCTGGGTTGCAGGCCTGATCCCCAGTAGGGGGCGTGAGGGAGGCAGCCAATCAAGGTTCCACTCTCACACAGATGTTTCTTTCTTTCTCTCTCCCTTCTCCTCTCTCTAAAAATCAATAAAAATACTAAACACACACACACACAAAACCACTATTCATCAGAATTAGAGTAACTTTTTCTTATGTACTTACTCGTAGTGTAGTGACTGTAGTAGGATCTCTATACCTTCCATCTTCCTCTTTCAAGTTATACCCTTCTGGTCTTTTGTCCCTTTCACTGATTTTCCACAATTTTATTGTTTTATCTGGGGAGACAATGAATAAAGTCCTCAAAAAAAAAAAAAGTAATACTTATAGGAGAAGAACACTTTATGGTATATTTAAACTTCATATTTCACCTAAAAAGATACCAAGAATGCCCTGGCCGGGTGGCTCAGTTGGTTGGAACATCATCCTGCACACCAAAAGGTTGCGGGTTCTAGCCCTGATTGGGGTATGTACAGGAGGCAATCGATTGCTATTTCTCTCTCCCTCTCCCTTCCTCTCTCTCTAAAATCAGTAAAAACAAAACCTCAGGTGAGGATTAAAAAGAGAAAAAAAAAATCCCAAGAATAAAACCCCTTATCTGACTCAACAAAAACCAAATTTCTTATTACCAGGTAAATAAAAACACACAAACAGAAATACAGTACAGATACTGCACTTTTATGTTAATAGAACTCATAAAATTCCATCTGATATTAAAATCAAGTCATAGCAAGGTCCTTACCCTTTAAAACAATATAGCCAGAGGGGAAAAATTTATTATGTGTATATTAACATGTGTCTATACATACACATAAACACATACATACATATGCTCAATATTTAATTTTAAAAAGAGAACAAACAACAAAATTGGTTAAGATGGCCGAACTATTCCTAGCAGATCCTATGAGTCCAGGAATTCCTTCACAGGTCTGAATGCCTGTTTAAATATATATTTCCCCACTGTATTAGTAGGTAAAATTGACTGATTAAAAGCATACGTTCCCAAGTTCTTCAAGACAAAATTCTTATGTATCAAGAATATATAAAATAATATTTTTTAAAAATTAACTTTTATTTTGGAATTGAGTTCCAGAGAAGTTACAAAGACAGCACAGTGTTTCCATATACCCTTCACCCAGTTTCTTCTGATGTCAACATCTTATGCAAGCTGGTACATTTGTTAAAACTTAAGAAATTAACGTTGTACATTACAACTAACTAAACCCCAGGCTTTACTCAGATTCCACCAAGTTTTCTACTATCCTTTTGGTTTCAGGATCCCATCAAGGATCCAAAAAATTCTTTCGTTGTCAAGTCTCAGTCTCTCTAACTTGAACAATTTCTCAGACTTTCCTTACTTTTCATCACGCTGACAGTTCTGAGCAGTGGTGAGGTATTTTGTAGGATGTCCCTCGACAGGTATGTTTGCTGTTTTCTCATGACCAGACAGGAATCGTGGGTTTTTAGGAAGAGCACCAGAGGTAAAGTGAGGGCATACATGGTATCAGTGGGACTTTTCCGCTTTGCTCACTTGGTTAAGGCAGTATGTGCCAGGTTTCTCCACTGCAGTTACCATTTTTCCCCTTGCCATATTCTATTCTTTGAAAGTGAGTCACTAAGTCCAGTCCACACTTAAAGGGAGAATTAAGTTACACTCCCTGTAGGAAGGAGTAACCATCCACATATTATTTGTAATTTTCCTATAAGAAGTTTCCCTTCTCTCCCATTTATTTATATCACTATGGACTCATGCATATTTAATACTTTGTTATTCTAAAATTGCATTCATATAAAACTATCACATTCTTAACTGTCTTTCATAAGCAAATGGGCATAATACAATTTTTAAAATAGTGTATATAGACACTTTATAAAACTGTCAAACAGAAAGGTAGCAGGGACTCCTCTAACCTGGCCACCTCTCTGCCTGTGGAGAAGAGTATGCCAGCTGCCCCTGTGGATGCCCTCTGCAAAGGTGAAGTCTAAACAGAAAACGGCTAACTCTACTAATTTGTAATCTAGTGTTTCATCTAAACCCTATTGTAATCATGTTTCTGGTTATCTTGCAATTCAGTTATGTGTGTTTTCTATGTGCTATTTATATATTTATATAATTTAGATAAATAATTATATACTTTAGAATATTTTATCTCCAAATCTGTAATATAAATGAGTCAGGCCTAAATTCTGTATTCTGGGAGAAATTATCATCTAAAGATGACGAGGATGTCAAGTCACCCCGCCCACTATCCAATCCCCATGATCATCTTATGGCCTGTTCAAATTCATCAACCTTGAAGACTGAGATAAAGAAATCACAATAGCCCAGTCATGTGGCTCAATAGCTGAGGATCAACCCATGGACTTGGAGGTCAGGGCACAGGCCCCAGTTTTGGGCTCGATCCCCAGTAAAGGGTGTGCAGGAGGCAGCCAACTGATGATTCTCACTGATGTTTTTTTCTCTATCTCCCCCTCTCTCCTTTCCTCTCTGAAATCAATAAAAACATATTTTAAAAAAAAGAAGAAAAAAGAAATCACAATATACTTGTCAAACTTTCAAATGAGATGAAATTAGTTTGTGGTTCCTAATAGTGTTATCAGAAATACTTAAAAAAATTATAAAAAACTAGGTCAAAACTTCTAAAACAAATTAAACTTCAAGAATTTTAAAAGTGATAAAATTTATGACATAAGAGGGCAAAACTTCTTTTTCAATAGCATAAACACAGGACAAGGCACAGAAGTACTACACAATTACAGTGCGGTGGTTGGGGATAAGGCTGGAAATAAATTAATGTTTTAACAAATATGACATAAAATTAAATTTTCATTTGTATGCTCTATGGAAGTGACTTTAATCTGGAGTCTTTTGGTCCATAGGTAGAGATACATAATCAAACTCCATTAAACTATATGCAAGATTATGTGCTTTTAAACACAACTTTTCTGTGAAGGGGATTGTAAGATTCTCAAAGGTATCTGTTACTTCCAAAAAATTAAGAACTGCTCTATGGTGATACCCTAAATTGTCAACCCTAATAATTAAAGAAGTATTCAAGAAGTCCAAAGGTCTATGTATATTTCTGGCCACATGCAGAGGGTCGGGACAGGTAAAACTACGCTACCAAGTTTCCTCTGTGGGAATACAGCTTTAGTTAAGACTGAAAAAGCTTCTTATTAACAAGCTGTTAAAAGGCAACCTATTATGAATGAACTTGCATTACTCATATATTCAAGACCCATCCATGGTCAACAGGTTACTGTCACACCTTTTTGCAATGTGGAGGAATTAAGGAGAATTCAAAGGTGAAAGATGATAAAAGAGAATAAAATCATTTGAAGAAACATTAAGTGACTAAAGATATAAAAGGTGACTATAAAGTTATTTAAGTAAAAATGATTTTGGAAACACCAGTTTATGATGACCATGGAAAGCCAATGCAAGAATGAGGGTAAGATTAACTGCTTTCTCTCTTTTTAAAGAATAACATTTTTCAGATATAGCTCAAGTCCTCCTCCCATTCTTTTTCTTACCCCACCAAACCCAGACACAGCAGTTTACAAAATTCCCATTCCTATTCAATCCTTCCACATTGGACTCTATTTTTATAGCACACACAAAAAAAATGCAGCCCTCAAATACCTGTGTTTTATTTAGTATCCATTAACAACAAATAGACAAAAATCTATGAATGCATTGTACAGTGTCCTTTGAAATAACTTTGATTATTAATCAATGATTTTTAAAATACACCTAGTAAACCTATTTGGGAGACATTGTTGATCTGTCTATAGAAAAGGACTACATAGATTCACATACCCCAGCCCAATCACTAGAATTCCCAGTGTCTCTCCTAGTACTGAACCTTTGCAGGGTTTAGTGTCTAGAAAGGTTCATCTGACTATACACTGCCTTGCTATTTTAAACCAAAGAGGAGAACAAGGGAGTCTGCAAGGAAGACTCGTGAAGATGAGCTGGGAATTGAAACCTATTTAAGATTTAATCCATAAATAAATCGAAACGCAATTTGCTTTCAAATAATACTGAGAAAGAGGGGAAGGAGGAGGATCTGAGAAACAGAACTGGCTGTGAACTAAGAATTATTGAAGCTGGTGATGGGTATGGAGGTCTTCATTACACTATTCTATCTCAGCCTATGTGTTAAAAATTCCCCTTTATAAAAAGTAAAATGATTTAGCACTAAGAAGTGAACTGGCCAATTATTAAGAAGAAATACTCCAATACATGAAATGTATAACAACACTTCCCTGGGACATTTACTACCAAAAGAAGAAACTATATAAATGGTAAAATTATGCATTATTTGATGTCAGAGAAAAAAGCAGATCTGAAATACTATTTGAAATAACTTAGTTTACCACATAAATTAAAGTTGAACCAAGGCTAGAAGCTAATATATGACATGAGTAAACATAGTACCTCCATCTATGATGCTGTAAGTTATAAGCTTTGTTTATTTGTTTTTTAATCCTCACCTGAGGATACATTTTTCATTTTCAGGGAGAGAGGAAGGGAGAAAGACAGAGAGAAACATTGATGTGAAAGACACACACCGACTGGTTGCCTCCCACATGCCCCCTGACCAGGGCCGGAGATCAAGCCTGCAACTGAGGTAGGTGCCCTTGGCTGGAATTAAACCCAGGACCCTTCAGTCCACGGGCCAACGCCCTAACCACTGAGCCAAACCGGCTAGGGCAAGTTATAATCTTTAAACCATTATTTCTAGTTATTTTTCTTTTAATAATAAGAGAGGGGAATGCAGTTTATGTAAAAAGAGGTACAAGTGTTAATGGGCTGGTTAGGCAGCACCTTGATGATAAAAAAAATATGGGCTAGAGGAGGCAAACATCTACAGTATCAGAGAGTGGCATCATTTTGTCAAATGCATTTCAAAGAACTAGATACCAAGGGTGATGAGACCTAAGCTGGATGAAGGGGGAACTCAACATTCTCCACCATGTCACCCCAGAAGTCAGGTACCTGAGTTTACAGACTGTGAATGGTAAAGAATGGTAAGGTCTAGGTACTAAAAATTTGCTTTTATCAATAGTGAAGATAGGAGAAAATATGAGAGTTTTTCCCAACCCTTGTGTCAGTCTCAAAAAGTTTTGATATAAATTTTTACCAACTATGGCTACCCAGAATCTGGAAGGATCTCTCAGTCACTCTAAAGACTCTCTTCAGCCCTCAGCCTCCAAATGCTAAACTAAGTCACAACAACTTATGTGCAAAAAAATTTAGGACAACAAAAAAAGACCCAATTCTTAACTTGTCATAAAGGCATTTAAATCCTGGTAGTCACCACACAATTCTAACTCTCACTTAAAAACTTTTCCTGAGAAAGCAAAACGGTGTAAGAAAAAAATGAGGCTTGCTGGGAAGAAGACAGTATGTCAATTCCAGTTTGTGTCCTTACTGGACAAGGGTCAAGTAAGCAGAGTGCTCTCCTAGAGAGTATCCTTGAATGGACACCATCCTCTGGCAGTGTCTTTCAAATTTATAGTTTGAAATACTCTTTGGACAGTTTTGGAACACTTCAAAAGAAGGGAGGGAAGAAAGGAAATTAACATTTACTGAGCATGTATTATGTACATTAGGAGTTATCACATTTACTACTCATAACAATACAATAATATATAGATAATACTATCTCTACGTTGCAGGTGAGGAAAATTTGACTCAGTGTTAGTAACCTGCCCAAGACTAAGCCATGAAGGGGCAGAAAGAGAATCAGCTCATTCTTTTACTATAAAATGTGTGCGTGCAAAAAACCCTGACACCTGAAAATCTCCTTCATAGAATTTAAAAACAAAACGAGAGCCCAGCCGGGTGTGGCTCAGTGGTTGAGCACTGACATAGGATTCAGGCGATCACAGTTATATTCCCAGTCAGGGCACATGCCTGGGTTGCGGGCTCAATCTCCAGTCAGGGGCATGCAGGAGGCAGCCGATCAATGACTCTCTCATCATTGATGTTTCTATCTCTCTCCCTGTCCTTTCCTCTCTCTGAAATGAATAAAGATATATTTTTTAAAAAAAGAAATGAGAATTAAAAAGGGAAGACAAAAAAGAAGAGTTTATATTCTATGTGGGGAAGAAATATTTCCAAATGTCTATTTGTACATCTCTCTTAACAACTACTTCTCTTTGAAAAGTGAAATGTATCCTGAAGTATGTGTACAGAGAGAGCATGTGAAATAAAATTTACACTTACCATTGGTAGACAATAAAAACTGAGCAGCATTTTTCTGGGGTAACCACCTAATTTTGTTGATCTTTTCTTCTATTTCTAAACTTTTCAAGTAGTCAAACTCTGGTTCATGGCTCTGAAAGGTGCTGTAAACATTATATTCTCCTCTGCTATGAGACTGGATTTTGTTCTAAAATGGAAACAAAAATATTCGGACCATTTGTTGAGAAATATTTCAAAATAGTAAAATGTAATCAGTTTCAATAGATCTTGCAGGTTCTGGTTAATTCATTACCTGTATCTTATATAAAATTATATTCTATTTTTAAAAAAATTTAAAGGCTTTCAAAGAGTAAATAAGAAAGCTTAAAAGAAAAAAATGGAAAAGCTAAATAAAGCTTAATGATTAAGCCCAATTTACTAGGAAAAGTGACACTGAAATATGGATCAATTTGATTACTAATTTACCATTATATTTTAAATAGTATAGGCTCAAATTGATTTAAAAAAATCTGAGCATCCTTAATAAGGGTGCTCATCTAAAAAGTAAAGATTAAATGAGAAAAGCTCATCAGAAACAGCTGGCTGAGGCACACCTTCTTTCTCTGTCTACTTTAGTCAATTCTCAATCAGTTATTTAATATGATATATTGTCCTCCTTTCTCTTTCTCCTGCCTGTCTTTAGGTCATTTTACTGCACCATTTGACCCTACTACCCACCTCAAGACTACAGTTATAGAGCTTTGATAGTCCTTAAGTCCACATTCAGCATCATCCAGCAAATCTCACCTGACAGCCCCATCAAAAACTGCTTACTGTCCTGAAATTAGTCTTCTTATATTATGAGCCTAGCACACAACCAGTAATTTATTTCACTTACTATCAGTGAACATGGATATAGTTTAAGCTATTAGATAAAGACACTACTTGTGAACTTCTTTAGTTAACACTAATACCTTAGGCAAAAGTGGGAATTCTAACCATGTTCAGAATTTCATCTTTTAACCTATCATCACATGATTAAATGTCAATATGATTTCCTTCATAATCCTATGTATTTCATGTAAACATTCTGAGAAGTTCACAGAATTTACCAGGCTACTGAAGGGCACAAAAAAGGTTAAGAATCCTTGCACAATCCTATAAATTTTACATCTTAATTTCTATAAATGCACCATATACATATAAAGTTAAAAACAGACCCCCCAAAAACAGCTTTGGGAGAGAAGGGCAGTAGTGGAGGAGAGGACAGAGAAGGCTTCTAGAGTGCCAGTAATACCTCATTTCTTGATCTAAGGGATACGTTACACAAGTGTTTGTTTTGTGAAAATTCATGGAACTGTACACTTACTATTCTGTGCATTTTTCTATATGCATGATCTATCTTGGAAAAATATTTTAAAATATTTGTAGATAATATAAAACTTGAAACTATTTTGGAGCTTTTAGCATTATCCTGGTATTAGAATACAGACCATTAAAAATTTTTTTTTCTATCAGGCAAAATCCCTAAAAGACTTTAAAAAAAAGCGGAAGTGTTGGAGTCTTGGGCTTCCAGAAGTTCTGATTTAGTGGTTTTGAGGTGCAGTCTAGGAATCTGTATTTAAAACACATGCCCCAGGTGATTCTAACATCTTATACTCTGAAAAGCACAACAGATCAAAGAGTGAATGAAAAGAAAAGATAAGACCTGGTAGCTTAGAAAAGGAACCTTATTTAATAGGTGTTTTGATTGGAAGAAACCACTGTGACAGTTCCTTGAACTTCTTGCGTATTCTTTCTTCCTGACAGATAGATATCCAACTCTCGTGTATTTATTTCCATAATAATAAAATAATCTCTTCTTTACACATGAATCCCTAAATAGCAAGACTCTTCATAGTCTCTTCTGGCTATACAACGTCTATCCCTTCAACCATTCCCCACTGACATGTCTAAATTTGCCATTCTGATTGGCACACAGTAAGTACCATGTTAAGTGAATGCTGCTACATCACCCTAAAACAGGTGTGTTTTCTCACTTAAACATCAAACCATAATCCTTTTTATAAATGATATTGAATTCTATTAAACTGCATCTTGTTGATTTTTTTTTTTTTTTTGCTAATCCTCACCCGAGGATGTTTTTCCCCCATTGATTTTTTAGAGAGTGTGCAGGGAGGGAGGGAGAGAAACATCAATGTGAGAGACACATCTATCTGTTGCCTCCCACACGCACCCAGGTGCCCTGACCAGGGCCAGAGACTGAACCTGCTGCAACCCAGGCACATGCTCTTATCACTGAACCACACCAGCCAGGGCACATCTTGTGGATTTTGAGTCCCATTCTAGTCTTTCCAAATAAAGAAAGAGAATACAATTATATTAATAGTACTATTGATCTTGTATAATAAGCATGCTTTCTAAGGTTTCTTTCTGTATTCTGTTAAGGAGTTTTATGAATATCACTTTAAGAACAAAAATATGAGCCCTGGCCAGGCGGCTCATTGGTTGGAGTGTCATCCCGTACACCAGAAGGTTGCGGCTTCAATTCCCAGTCAGGGCATGTGTGGGAGGCAACTGAAATTTCTCTCCCATCGATGTGTCTCTCTTTTTTTCCTAAAATCAATGGAAACACATCCTCAGGTGAGAATAATAAAAAGGAACAAAAATATGAGGAGTCCCAGAAAGTTACCAGCAGTCCTAGAAAACAGAAAACAAACATTGTGTAACAATTTAGAAAGAATCCAGGAAGAAATAAAAAAAAGGAGTAACTGCCCCCTTCCCACCTTTCTCCTTAATTATTCCTTAAAAAAAATAAAAAAAATCATATCCTGCCACATACCTACTTTGATGTCAAAAGCCACTGTATATAAACTATGAAAACAAGATGGGTCATACCTAGTCAGGATATAAATTAGGTATCAAAAATTTGGATCCATTATTGGGAGTGATCACTTCATAAGGTATATAAATGTCTAATCGCACCTGAAACTAATAGAATATTGTATGTCAACTGTGATAGGAATATAAATTAATTTCTAAAGTTTGGACCATTACTGTCCACATGGTGTGTGATGCCTTGCGGAAATAATTTTACCCTTGTGCTTCAACTTCCCCCTACATGACCAGCTTCTATCACAGAGATTCTATCCAACAAAAAACTACTCAAACACATTAGTTATAAAAATACTATTAAATGACACAAGATCAACAAGCTGAAATATATTCGAACTGAATAAAGACCCTCTAAATGATTACTGGGATTCTTTGATTGGGAGATAGATGGAGAGGCAGCAAGACACACCCTACGGAATTATAGGAAGGGGACCTGCCATGTCTGAAGGGTAAAAGAAGCGAGAAAGGGTGAGTTAAAGATGTAAAGGGGTGATGTGCCAGGTTCACAGATGGTACTACAGGACTCTTTCTTAAATAACTGAGGACAACAAAAGGAGTAAAGGATAAATGGTCTCCAGTCAAGTGAAGTCTCGCAAGGAACCCTGCCCAGCTTGAAGCTGGAGAGAGGCTAAAGCCCCAACAGTGCTAATGCAAACAGCACTAGCAGCAGCAGCAGGGGCTAAGATATGCTCACTGGACAGGCAACAGCGTGCCCTGGAATGTATCAGAGCTGTGGTTGTTAGAAGCTGAACTGGAATTTAGGGAACCAAGTTCTAATTCCAGAGCTTTGATATTAAACTACGAAAAATAACCTTGTATTATAAACTTTTCCTGGGATTTATCTAAAAATTAGGAACAAATCATGTCTAAGTTCTCTTCTTTTCAAAATGCAACACTATTTTAACAGATATGTATATATATGAATTCATAAAATCTAACCTAAATATGTTAGGTACTAAAATAAAGGTGTCCCCAGAGGTGTGAGGTACATATAGTCAATGACACATTGATTTTGCTAAAGATAACACTATTATTAGAAACACCAGTATAAGAGAGGGCTTAAAAATGTAGAAAATAAGTAAAATGCACCAAGTTAATATTAATTAGACTAAGTTCCGGGAGTGGGGAATTCAATTACTATCATCATTGTTATTTAATTTATCACTTTTTAAAAAAACACATATTTACACTAAGTAATTCTCAAAAGACATACTACTAATTTGAGGTTCTAGATAATGAATCTTATCTTGAGTTCTTAAATAGTAATTTAAGAATGCTAGATACTTGAAAAAAGAAGTCCTTTTTTCCTGCCTGTGGTCCTTCTCAAAAAGTCAGTCACTCGGCTAATTCCTTCTATAAGAACCACATGAAATGCTGGCCTTATTCTCCGACACAAGTAAAACCTGTACCAGTTTTAGCAACTCCATGTTAGATCTTTAATTCCAATTCAATATATTACTGACAGCCTTTAGGAAAATACTAAGCTATTGCTTTGACTACATTTGTTGAACCCCTATTAAAGTAAACCTCCTCCATTAAATTTGAGTCACTTATTTTTCACATTTAATTTTGACTTTAATAACAAACCACCTTCTATAGAAGGTGAAAATGACCTCATTCTCAAGCAAAATATTTCTAAATTAGTTTTTAATTAACAAACTAGACTTTAAAATAATAGAAAACCCTCATTAAAAATGTAGACTCTCTCAGAAACCCTCAATGTAAGCCCATGTATTTATTATCCTTCAAGATGGAACTGCTTAAGAAGCAAAATTAATTTTAAATGTTTTTCTTAAAACACCTTTCTTTAAAACAAAATCCAAGTATAGAAAGCCACTGACTTTCAGTAAAAAATTCAAGGCAGAGAATGCCTATGGGAAAGGCAACTGTAAATTCTGAATAGGAAAATTAACATTCATATTTTGGTTATCAAAGAACACTGAAAAGATGACACATCAGAAATTCTGGGTTCTAGTTGTTAGTTCTGCCACTAAGTAATCAAGGGATCTCTTAATATCTTGACTTTTCTCTTTTTTAAATACAGTGAAATTGTAATCTGTAAGGTTATATTTGAACTTCTCTAAGTATTTCAAGATTCTTATGGGTTAAATTTAAAAAACAGGAACAGAAAACTAATTTCGCACTCCCATTCCCACAAGAATATTCTTTGTCAAGAAAAGCTTGAGTCTTATCTTCGTCCAACCAAAAATAATAAATAAAAGGAGACATATTTAGTGTATGTGCATCTTCTAATCAGACACTATTAATCATTTCTTTTAAAATTAAATTACCTACCTCACTGGGGTGTTGTGAGGATTAATTCATTAGTGTTTGTAAAGCACTTTGAGATCCTCAGGTCAAAGGCGCTATAGAAGTGCAAAGTAGTAGTATTATTACTAGATTCTTTGCTTATTTAAGGAATTTCACAATCCTTTAAAACCTAACTCTGTGTTATAATTTAGACATCTATTTGTAAAACCTTGTAATTTATCCACATTACTCTTTAACTATTTTTAAATATATTACAGATAGAGAGGGGCAGGATGAATCAAAAATAATTTTAAAGGTTTAACTTGGATCTACAAATGGCAGGAGAGAGTAAGGGAAAATCTAGTGTGACAAATTTTGTTTAGATAAAATTTTAGTGAGAAATCTTGTCAATCAAATTTAGAAGTGTGCCCAAGTTTTATACCCAAAACAAAAACAGAAAACTACTTTAATTGCAGATTCTGCAATGAGAATTTCTTCAAAGAGAAAAGGAAACAATTTTCCAATCAGCTCCATTTTAAAAGGGGTACTGAGCTTATAAATTGCAAACATATACATGCAACTGTCATTTAAAACCTTATTTATATCAGAGTAACAGTATCAGTATGGACTGACATCAAAATAATTGAGTGACTTTTTCTTTAAGCTGGCCTCCCACACCCAACTACACAAAAGCAAACTAAGCAGTGAGAAGAGGTCAAAGCAATTTTGCTTTTTGGAGTTTTAAGAGGGGAAAAAAGAGGGCCAAGGCTTCAAAACCAGTTAATACCTTGGATTACTCCACCAATCTCCACCCCCTTCTCTCAACAAATCTTTCTAAAATGAAAGCATTGTTTTAAAATCAAAGCAACACACACATGTACATACACACAAAGCTAAGAGAAACATGGCTATCTATACGTTGAATATTCTGCTTGGTAAATAGACATTACTTTTAAAAACTGCCAATATCCTCTGATGAGATTCTCCAGTGCAACAGAAACAGAAGTTCCAGTCCCAAGAGTAAACTGAAATTTATTAAAACTTTAAACACCTACCTCCTGCTCCTGTTGAAAGATGACGACTCTACCTCCTTTATCTCCTGTTGCTAGTAATTCTCCAGAATGATTAAATTCTACTGTCGAAATTATATCTGCTGTATAATTGAAACAAAAAAAAGACATTAGTTTCTCTCTCCCAACTCAGTAGCGTTTTAGAACTTAGCATGTTTTCCCTAACATATTCCAGGTCTATACAACCTGCCATCAGAAATAAAGTAAATCTGAAGTTCTTTCATAAATATTTTGGTTCACCAAAAAAAAATTCTCTCCAGAATAAACCAATATGAAACATTTTAACAAAAAGGAACACAACAAATAATAAATACTAGTGGTTTACTAATATCACATTAAATTCATGAATGTAATGAAATCAACAACTTGTGAAACATTCTATGACAGCAGCACCATTAAACATTAATAATTAGTTTGCTAATTTTCCTTCTTATATACTTTTGATAAGCTCTTTTATGCAAACCCAAAGATGGACTCTAAAATTAAGGGCAGGTATAACTAAAATGGAAAAAATATTTAAATGTAAAAATAATTTCAGATGAAATTTTAAGTCATAAATTAATAAATTCAAATTATGGCCTCTCAAACAAAAATTTGCAAAAAGAACACACTTATACCAGAAATGCTTTGTGCTATGCACCTTCAGTATGCACAGCTCTTCTTGTGGCTCCCAAACACTTCAGGGGCACTAGAATCAGTCATATTGCACCCAAAGTTGGTGCTAACTTCACAGTCAAGTTCAAATAAAATTATCAGGGGTTTTTTCCTTGCTTTTTGACACCAGAGCCATTTTCCTAAGGAAAAAAATCTAAGTTACAGAACTGGGCATTAGATAAAGCAATACACTGTACAATTCACCACTGTTACTAACACGTTCTTCTATAAAGCATTATGCCAAATTAGGAAAGACTCCATCATATGCATTTTAAACAAGTCAACTTTTCCTACAAAAAAAGGGTTATTTTCTGGTCTACATTAGCTCATTCTAAGAATTTAACAATGTAACTTTATATAATAAAGAACACTATGTACCTAAACACTTACTGACCAATGTATCTTACCAATAATCTGTCCAGCACTGCATTTTATAAGTTTCTTTTTAGTGATTTTTCCAAGTTCAGCTTGATTTTGGAAAGCTTTCTTTGCTTTCTCCATTGTCTACGTCCAAGGCATTTTACCTTTTTGAAACTCTCTGAGAAACTACTGAAAGTTACACATGCTCTCCCAAAAAGTTGTACATATTTAAGTGCACACAAAAATATGCACACAATTTCATAGGGTTTGGACAGCACCTCACCTCCAGGTTAAATATGTTAGCCCCAACAGCCCACCACAGCCAGTGGTACCAGAAGGAAAGAATATTTACTGTTTACATTGCATGCATATGTAACATAAAGGTGTAAAACAATGTACTAGACTCTGTAAAGTCAAGTATCAGTAAGTACTTAAAAGTCAATCCATTAGGTGCTCTGTACTGTACTGACTTGTAGAGTGAATATAATAAAGCATTAAAAGCATGCCTAGTCCCTGCACTTAAAGCACAATAGGGTACAGCTGGAGAGAGAAAATAAGTAGGAACTAACAATATTAGGTTAGGTTCTAAAATTGGGGAATGAGGTAAAAATACATAGTAAAAATCACCTTCAAATTCAAATCCATCAGACACTAGCACTTCGGAGATGTGAACTCCTTCTCTTGTAAGTCCAACTTAGCTAATTTCCCTACAACATTGATAAGTTTCTTTGGCTAATTGATCAAATAAAGAAGCTAATATGAACATAAAGCCATGCTCTGTAAGTTATTCTGAGTTGTAAAATGCCACGATCTCACAAGGCGTCAGTTAGAATAAGACATGTAACATATAAAAGGGAGAACAAAATCAAGTAATGCTTATAGTCCATAAAAAACATCCAGGAATGAACTGAAACTCAGCTTTTGAACTGTATGTGCTACTGTATACCAGTGTGCCAAAAATGGGTTATCGGTTTGCCTGGATTCTGTAGAGCACCCAAACCTGTGATCTCCAGTTATGAGCAACGTCCGTGTGCCATACAAACATTACTGCTTTGTAGGTGTGCCATGATGTGCAAAACATAAGGAAGCATAGCTCTAAAAATAGTGCTCCTACATTATGCCATACCCAGTCAAGGTTAAGGTGTTAGGGTATTAGAATAACAATAAATCTATTTCTAGAAAATACTCTTCTAATGCTCTGATTCCTATACTATTAAAAAAATTTAGAATAATGATTGCAAAAAGTCTACAATAGCGCTGTTCAATAGAGCTTTCTGTTACAATGGAAGAATCCTGTATCTGCACTGTACTCACTAGCCACATGTGGATCCTGAATTTTTTATTTTAGTCCAGTTGCACCTAGGGGCCACCCACACTGGACAGCCTAGGTCTAAAACATTTCAGGGTGAACACTGACTTCTACTGAAAAGCTGAGAATGCTAGAACTAAGAGAATTTTGTACCTTTCAGCAATGCACTACGGGTAAAATAAAACCTCTCTCTCTCTCTCTCTCTCTCTCTCTCTCTCTCTCTCTCTCTCTCTCTCTCACACACACACACACACACACACACACAC